GGTTGACCACACTTTGCTATGTTTTGAACTAAAAGAATATTTTGGCTTCAGTAATAGTGCTTTATCGATAATGAAACGTTATCTGGCTGGCAGATCTCAATATGTAAGCACTGGACATGAAGTATCGGAGTCAATGGATATAAGTGTTGGTGTTCAACAGGGTTCCATTCTTGGACCCTTGCTATTTAGTCTTTTTATTAATGATGTGTTTCTTGTGTGTAAATTTGTAAGTGTGCAGNTGCCGCTATTGGATGATGTTTTGCTCGATCTCCGAGAAAGATTGCCGAAAGAGACATTAAAAAATTTTTGATTTGAGCTTATTACTTCCATCTAAAATTGAAATACGCTATATGAAAAAATAGTGCTTTCGACGTAACATCGCTTAAAAAACGATAAGAATTTTTCTCAGAAAAATACGCTATCAATTTGGAAGGAGAGTAGAGAAGAACTCTGTGGTAGGTAAGGTTTATTGTGTTTTGCGCAATCTGCAAAGTTTACGCCCGTTAACATTAGAAGAAAACTTGCCGTGCAGCTAATCTTACCAATTATAACCTATTCTGAATTAGTTTATAATAAGTTAGACTCACGTTCTGCTCACAAAATTGATGTTGTCTTCAATCACGTTACGCGCTACGTTTATGGTTTGCGTAGATATGATCACATCTCTGCTTGGAGAACTCGGCTGTTAGGCTGTAACATAGTTGACTACCTAAAAGCTAGAAGCTGGATATTCTTATATTGTCTGATATCAACAAAGACACCTACTTATACAATAAACTTGTTTTTTGCAAATCTGCGCGCTAGTGTAATTTGGTTGTGCCAGACTTTAATTAGTTGCGTTCGATAACAAAATTAGCCAACACCAGCCAACAATCAAAATCAAGAGAGTAAGCGAAAATTCTCTCCCAAAGAGATGAAAAAGCAGGAAATTAGCCATTACTTGCAAAAACCGGAAGAAGAAGACACACCAGCTGACTTTGTTTATGTTTTACTTGTAAACAAACTGAAATTCATGTTGCCTCCATAGAAGAAAAAAGGAAAGTGAACGTTCAGTGTTCGCCAGGAACATTTCTAGCAGTAAAAACTAGTTGGCGGTATCATAAAGTCACATAGCAGGCAGCCAAAAAGCATATAAATACCAAAACTCGGAAAATTCAATTTAGTTTGTTTACAGAAATTGCAACCATATGTTTTGTGATCATATGTTTTCGTGTTGGATAATTTTTGCTGACTAAAATTTTGCCAGTACAAAATGAACGCTTCTCTTGCATCAAAATGAACGCTTGCTCTCTCAATTTTTGTGTGTTGGATAATTTTTTGTCGTTATCGAACGCCATCTAGTAAAAATTTGGAAAAACTATTACAAATTTTTGACTTGTCGAACGCACCTATTATGTGAGTTCAACAAGGCTGTTCTTCGTCAATGCCATACATATTTGGAACTCCATTCCGGCTGCTACGAAGAACATTATGAACCAAAGCAACTACAGACAAGTTATTTATAATTATTTTTCTCAAAATTAGGTTTAAACTGGCCATCTAAATTAATGTTTTAATCATCATCTGTAATTTATTTCATTAATTCTATTTATATCGCTTATCTTTCTTTTTTTAACTTATTTTTCCTTAAAAGATTATTAAATACATTTTATATAAATGCACCAAGTAATATGACTTAAATTTAGTCTCAAATTTTGTATTTTTTTTTTAGTCTCCTTTAATATTTGTATGTTGTGCTATAAAAGATTTTATATCTTATTGTACTAATTACTTTTTAATAAATGAAATGAAATTGACTTGATGGGCCATTTAACAAATTTAGCATATTAAGGGCCGTAAACGTATCTATTTTAAACTATAAATCGTTAATAGATAAGTTAACAGCCCTAACACTTTTACAGTATGTATGTATAAAAACGTAAGGAACATACAATACATATATTTATATTAGACTGTCCCAAAAAACCAACATTGTTTCCCCCTCATTTCATTGGTGTTATCTTAAAAAATATCCAAATAAAATTTTATGCAATTCTAACCACGGCAACCCGTGCCGACTTGCGGTCAAAGTTATCAGAATAAGCTTGTTGCAGTTCGCGTGTTTTGTTAATTTACTCCTTTTACTTCTTTATTAGACGGTATTACTATACTCCCTACAGCATAAGGACATAATATTTAGTAAATCTGCGTTTTTGGTTTTTTACCTGGTAGTCAGGACTTTTTCCAAAGGACCATAAATTATAATATATTTCCAAAAGTTTAAACAAAATATGGAGATATGGTTATCAAATGAAAGAAGAATTCGAAACAAGATTAACTATAACTTTTGTTTTCAATTATCCTTCTGGAACATGTTAAAAATATCCTTTAAAAAGATTATCCTTCAAGATTTTTAATTTTGAATGAGTTTTGAAGAATCTTAGTTTAATTTAAATCTTACTAAAGGATAAAAATTTCAAAGGATATTTTTCAAATTTTCTGATTAATACTGCCACATTCACAATCAACCCGAGAGGACATGTCAAACACTAAACCACTTTATTTTGTTTATTCAATATTATGAAATGCATTTTTTGAAAGTAGGGAAAGAATTTGTTAAAAAAGTTGAATTTAAAAATTTAATTAAAAAATGGTCTAAATGTGCAAATTATCAGGACATGCACAACTTATTCGACTAAAAACATATAGTTTTTCAGCCTTGTAATACACCCCTTCAAATCCACTATGCTTTCTCCATTAATTAATTTTTTCGATGTCCTTGGGAGAAATCCTGCCGTACATATGTATCTTTTCTAGTAGGAAAAAAATTTTTTGTATCTCCTGAAAACGTGTATTCTGAACTTTTTTTAATTTGGTGCGAGAGGGCGTATGATGAATACAAAATTATTAAATTCAACTTTTCTACTACATTCTTTTTCCTTAAAAAAATGCCTTACAAAATATTAAATAAACCAAATCATATGCTTTCTTATTTTATATGTCCCTTCAGGCTGTTCAATTGTTGTAAATCAGTACGATATGAAAATTATATTTAGTTAAATTTTTTTTATGTCATACGGAAGTACAACCATTATATCAACCCGAGAGGACATGTCAAAGACTAAAACGATTTATTTTGATTATTTAATATTATGAAAGGTATTTTTTTAAATGAGGAAACAACTTTGTAATACAAGTTCAATTTAATAATTTAATGTTCATCATACGCCCTGTCACACCTATTAAAAAATGTTCTACAATTGCAATCCTTCAGGACATACACAAATTATTCGACTGGAAAACATATCGTTTTGCTGCCTTGTAATACACCGTTAAAAAGCCGCTATACTTTTCGATTAATTAATTTTTTCGATGTCCTTGAGAGAAATCCTGTCGTCCTATTAAAAATTTAAAAATGCAGATTTACTAGAAATGCGTTCAAATATGGGACACATTTCCAAAGGGCAAAAAAAGTATGTGGTAGCTAAATCTAGCCACCAAAGGGATAAAACGGCAACACTGATCAGTGATCACCAACTACATACGTATGTATGTATATTAGGCCGGGTCGATTTGTGGGGAGGCAAAAAAATCGCCCATTGCTCTGTGAAAATCATATTCTAGGGGTCAAAATAAGAAACTTTGCCGAAGGAACCATACCTGTAAAACGAATTCTGATGTCCCCCAATTTGGGTCGAACTTTTGGGTAGGGGCAAATTTTGAAAAATCCCACTTTGACTAATTTAGAGTGCTCCAATCGAGTCCAAATGTATGACCGACCCCCACTAACTTTGGAGGCCCGANGCAAATTTTGAAAAATCCCACTTTGACCCATTTAGAGTGCTCCAATCGAGTCCAAATGTATGACCGACCCCCACTAACTTTGGAGGCCCGACCCACCCATGCCAGTGGCACACCTCCTGGAACCCCCGTGGGGGTTCACCATACAAGCATTTCAAAAAATCGCCGGTTTTGCACTTTACATGAAAAAATCAGCGAAATGCCTATGTTTTTTCTTTTTGGAGTTTATTTTTCTCTTTAGAAATTTATTTAGTCAGAACATATGTAAATGAAAAAATGAATTTAACTTAGTAATAGAAAAGAAATT